GGGGGGGGGGGGGGGGATCTGCAGCAATCTGCCCACACAGTCGGCCCCCCATCCGAGCTAGCAGCTGAGGGCCCCCCGCACTATTCCCCCCACCCAGGTGCTGGTGAGAACGGCTCACAAGATTGATGCGGGAGATGGAGGGTGGCGAGTGGCTCAGAAGCAGCTCGCCTCGAGCCTCTGCCATTCGCCCCCCCCCCACGAGTGATGGAAGCGGCCGTCCCTGGCATCCCGTTACTGGGCACCCCCGGGTGGCGCCGCTGGTGCCCGCATGTGACAGCTGGGATCACACACCATTTGCCTCTCCACACCACATTTAGCAATCGCTGGCACCCAGACAGGGCGGCTGCACCGGGAAGCCCAATGCGGCCCCCGCCCAGAGGGGGGGGGGGTGGGGGTGGCAGAAGACGCTCGTGGCCATCACAGGCCGAATCGGGTCAGGTGCTTCGAGGAACGAGAACGGCAACAAAGTTCCCTTTCAATACAATTAATGGGACAGGAAGGCACACGAGGACTGACATACGGAGACCGGCCGCTCGGCAAACATTAAAAAACATTAAGATTAACCTCTGTGCCCCCCCCCCCCGCCGCCCCCCACCACCACCACCACCACCATGACTCACTAGGCGTTGCACACAAACAGACAGAATAGTATGTTCACACACAGGGTTACAGGAAACACCCAGGCCAGACCTCTAAGGCCGAGTGGTGATGTGTGGGTATCTGTGCCGCAAAGACGCGCAAATGAGCCCCCAGAGATGGGCACTGTCCTCACTCTTAGCTGGGGGGGGGCATTCAGACAAAACAGGGACCACTGGAACGAGAACCACTACAGTAGCATAGGATGTGGTTTCTGAAGAGAGGGCCGTATATAAAGAATCCATTTCCTTTTTTTTCACTTGCTGGCTTGTTTTGGCATTGCCACTTCCCCCTCCCTCCCCCCCCCATCCGCTTTATTTCCTTTATTCTGCTGAAACATCTCGGCGCCTGTAGTCAGGCCTCTGCCACACACAGGCTGCTCTTGTTCCGGCCCTCGTTAGCCTGGTGATGCCGAAGGCTCTTTATGTCGCGGCTCCCTGCCCGTCAGCGAGCAAATGAGACAGGCAGACGAGGCTGGCAGAGGGGCGACACCCTGAGTGAGGTCAGTCACACATGTGGCTAGCTCTTTAGCATTAGCCTTGGGATGGTTATATGGCGTAGAATCCAAAGGGCAGGCCGAGACACACGTGCTACCCACAATGCATATCTTCCCATAGATATTTGGACCGTGCAGCATGTTAACACTCCCATCAGTCCCAAGAAGTTACCCATCTCTGAAGGAGGTCTGTACCTTCTAGTTGAGTTTGAAATGTTCTTGAATGGTCTGGTTTCAATGGGGCCTAGTGCTCGGCTCTGCCGGGGAGAAGCAGAATGAAGGACAGATGACAGACTACTGCTTCAGTGATATCAGCGGAAGGGAGGTCTTAAAGTTGGCCCAAAACCAACAGGAGCTGTTTCTGGACTGGAGACGTGGTCGTCCCACGTCTGCCTAAGCCGCCTCGGAAGGTCATGGGAGACAAGGCAGGCAGAGGCAGTAGAGGCGGCGAGCGGCAGCGTGGCCAATTCTGCCCAGGATGGCCTGAACTTGGAGAACGAGGCTCCATCCACTTTTCTGTTGCCAAAGTCCATTTCCAGGAAGGGGAACTCGATGCCCCCTCTGGTTTCGCGGCACTTTAGGCTTAATTGGGGGGAGGTCCTAGTATTTACAGAGGCACAAAGGCAGACCCATTAGGGAAGCAAATGGGTCCAGTCCCAGGCAAGCATAAGATATCTGCAGGCCATGACATCATTGGACACGAACCAATCAGGCTACGGTGGCAGCGGGAGGGCGGTCCACTCCTACCGCGCGGAGACTCCGCACTTGTGGGTTGCGTCCTTTTCAATCCATCAAGATCCTGCGAGGTGTGCCGCGGCATGATGGGAAGGCAGCAGATGGCCCGAAGAGCAGGGCGGACTGCTCCACGGCGCGCCCGGTTCATCACCCGCCGGCCGTACGGCGTGGAGCAGGAGCCCGGCACTGCCGCGTCACTCCGGCCAACCCGCCCGCGCAGTGGCAGCAGGGCCACTGCGACCTGACAATGACGTGACACCGAAGCTCATCTCAACAAGAGGCCGCGCTGCGCGGGGGAGGCGGCCGACTGCCCCCGCATCAAAGTACGGCCACGCCGAGTGACATTTTGCCGAGCACAGCTGTTGGAAGCTGACAGCGTGCCAACCCGCATTCTTGAAGGGTTGTTTGTTTGCTCTGTGTGTACGTGCATGCCTGCGTGTGTGTGCATGCGTGACAAAGGCAGAGAGAGGGGCTGTTTTCATCTAGGCGGCCTGTATACTATTTACCTTCAACTTTGCAATAAAAGCACGCAAGCTAACGCTAGCGTGAACGGTAACTGCGATATTTTACACCACAGTTATCTTCCATTATTACTTCACTCTTCATTTTAGAAGTGTATTTTATTCTGGAGAATGAAGCTTGAAAAGTCGCTGCATTTATCGAAGCATATTCGGCGCGTTACAAATCACGATCAAAAGCTAGCTTTCTGATTTACGGGCTGACGAAGGCTCCTTCCCAATGAGGCTGTAAACTGCATGGAGAACTTTGCCCCCCCTCCCAAATGACCAGCGTCCCTCCCTCTGTCTCGCGGCAGACCCCCTGCAATACTGCCAACAGAGCACCAGCTAGCCCAGAAATGGGCTTTTAATTTTTATTTTTTTTTCTCTAACTAAATTCTCAGACAAAAGAAAAAAACAAGTGCAATTCAAAGGAGACAGTTTACTGGGGTAACCACAGCGCTATGCGCCGTCTAACACTCCAGCAATTTCTGCTCTGTGTGTAGGCCGACGAAGAAGCCGCACGTTTCTCACAGTCAGCCCCAGAAACACAACTGTGATGGTTGGTGACTACCGAAGGGGGGAGAGAAGGTTCCAGAAGCATGGATAGCAGCTGCTGATCCAAAGTGCGCCGTGTGCGCCGTGTCGGGAGTGACCGGCTGCTTCTCAAACTCTCAGAACGGAGATGTCCTCCTTCGACCGCCCCCTCCCCACGCGGTTTGTTTCTGTTCTTTAAATGTCCCAGCATCCTTTGCTGCGAAAGCCTACATATCAGGGCAGCTGCCTTTGTGACAAAGGCCCAGCCAGAGCTCAGAGTTCAGGAGTGGCACTCATACTGTGTGCATGGAGGCGGACGGAGGTATCTTCTGCCCGAAACGTCCTTGTCTGCCGACCTGACATCACACACAGTGTCGCTACAGCAACACAGTGTCCATCACGGCCCTGCCTGTCGGACACCCACAGGCACATCGCCCCCCCCACCCCGGCATGGAGGTGTTTCCGGCATCCACAAGACGGGGCAGGGAGGGGGAGCTACAGGTGTGTGGGGGAGGTCACCTTGTGCAAACAGCCAGGAATTCCACCACTTCAGAGCAGCAGAGTTTCCCTGGGGGTGTGTGAGGGGTGGGGGGGTCAAACTCAGCCTCACAAAGTTTAAGAGGCATTAAACTGGTCGGAACGCACTCCCTGTCTCCCCAACCTTAATTCCCAATTACCCATCAACCCCCCCCCCCTTCATTCCCTTCTCCAGCCAGCCTGCGCTACTGCCATCCACATTTTTTAAATTGCAGTACATCATACACAGATGTAATATATATAATATTATAATATTTACACTTGTATTACTTAGCAGAAGATTTTGCAGGGTCAACCAGCATCCATGGCACAGATGGGGTAAAGAGCCTTGTGTAAAAGCCCAATGTGACATGATCAGTCTGGCACCCACAGGATTTGAACCCACAATCTTCTGGACAAGTGTACGAATCCCAAACATACTGGCCAGCATCCATAATACGTGGTAAGACTTATCGCTCACAGTTTCGCGGTACCTTCCGTGATCAAGCTACACCTGTGTCCCAGCGCACGGCAGCGACGACTTCGGGGGGCACCACAAAAAGTAGGAGAAGTCCATGTCTGTTCAGTCACTGTCCACGGGTTTAACACAGAGTAGTGAGAGGATATAAACAGCGTCTAACTCACCAGGGAGGTGCACATTAACAGCTTTGGTGATGTTTTTCATTCTGAAGGAACTTGATCAGCTCTGCATTTACTGACCAACCCCAATCCAGCTCTCCTCAACAACCTTAGCTGTCCTCTTTGGACTTAAAGGCGTGTCGGAGCGCCGTGCTGGGGGGGGGCCTACCTCGCTTGTGCAGCCACCCCTCCTTCACGATGATGACGTCGGTCATGGTGCTCTGCGGGGCTGCTCCGTCCTCAGGCTCCGACAGGGAGAGACGCTGGCGTTTCCCGCGTGGCCGTCAACTGGAGCCGGAGCCAGGAGGCCTTGTTTTCACGCGTTACCTGTAGGGGGAGGGGCATTGGCACCAGTCACAATTAACCTACTTTCAGCCGAACGTCCACACCCAGCTCAGGAGGAAAGTGTGACGCTTCCGTCGCCTGAAAACAAAGAAGGAAAAACACACTGCATACGGGAGCAGAGTCCACTGCGAGGGTGTCAGACGGCATCCCCACGTGACAGAGGGCCAAAAACAACCCAGGATACGGAATGATCCGCTCCAGTTGTTCCTCCCTCGCTGGCACTGCATCTCGTTCAGCCCTACTTGTCACACCAAAACCCCAAAAGCTCGATCGACAGGCAAAACCATGACTAAATTAATCCGGGCTTTCATCTTACTGTTTCCAGCACAGGTGAAATACCGACAGGAAGTGCCGGAAGTTTCTGAATGGAGGATTCCGTCAGACCACTAAGGGCCTGAAATCCATAGATCGTGAGCTTCTGCGTCACACGCCGGAGCCCACCAGAGCTCCCCTCAAACCAGACTGTGGACCAGTTCCTAATAAATGCCCCCCCCCCCCCACATCTATGTGGCTTGTTACCCGTAAACAGCGCCCCATGGCCCCATTATATGCCCGCATTTCTGAGAAAAATCGAAACATTCTGGTCACCAGCAAACAACGGTGTTCCGGCGCACAAGACCAAACTAAAAATAGAAGGGCAGAGCACTGGTGCTTGTGAAACTCTGCACCCCTGCTGCGGGCATATCTGAAACTAGCCTCCTCGAGACAAACAAAAAGGCTCATACCAACTGCGACGGGCCAAAAAGGCACCAATTCCATGCGTTTTTTTTTTTTTAAAGGTCACCCGAGCCCTACGGAGGTCCCCGTGACCTTGACGCAGAGCTGGAACGGAGGTCAGCAGAACGTGTTGATGGTACGCGACTCACCCACACCCCGTTTCATTCAAGACGACAAAATGCAGTTAGTTTTCGACGTAGCGCGAACGTTCGCACGTTCACACACTGCAAACACACCCAGACGCACCAACGGCATTCGCAGCAGCACAGACCTCACAACTATCCAACCGGCACATTTCAGGATGGCTATATCCCACTACTAGGGGTCCTGTGCGCAGAATGACATTGTCACTCACGCACCTTTACCAACTGGTTCATTTTTCTAGGTCACTCTACTCAGACATTACTCACCTATCTCCTTTTCCTGTATTCAAGGCACCGCATGGTGAGGGGGAGGGTTGACCTCCTGTTCCGGGGTCTCCCCGCTCAAATGTGAAATGGGAGTGGTCAAGGAGGAATGGAGCAGCCGGTCAGTATAAGAAGGGACAAGTCAAGGCTTCTACAAGCCCTCAGAGGAGCGGTGAGACTTCTGAGGACCGAACGTGGAATCCTGACATGGGGGGGGGGGGGCCACCACAGCCTGGTGCCATTTCTGTGAATGTAAACAAGCCCGTGTTTTGACTGCGCTTGCCTCACAGGAAGTCGTTCGCAGGCTGTGACCCCACTGTGCCCTTCCCCTGCCGCATCGCCTCCTTGAGCAGTGCCGCTGCCTAACCCTGCAGCCCCGCGCCGGAAGGCCATGGGGAGGCCCTCCAGCAACCCCCCCCCCCCGTCTGTAAGACCATCCGTCTGTCTATCCGGCGCCGCCCTGCCGAATGCAGAAACGTACGCCTGCGAGAGGCAGAGCCACGCCCCCACAGCGCATTCCTGACAGACAGCAGGCAGCCGTGCTGAACCGCATCACGGGTGCACTTAGACACACTTAGCGTTAAAGGGGCGGAGCACTGCTGCCTGACAGCCACACAGACTCACATGTCACGATGTCCGGTAGCGGCTGGAGTCCAGGTGTCCCTGCTTTCAGTACATGCAGGACAAGATCCGCACAAACAGTGCTGCAACTTCCACAATTCCAATACAGCCCGTTATAGTGGGACGTAACCTGTTCTTCTGAATCCATATTTAACAAAACTCCTGTCACAAACCATGACAACCCACCAAAGCTGCATTATCCGGCTCTTAATGGTGAAATACTGGACATTTGATTAGCTACGGGCATTTCAGCCAAGAAATCACTGAACACTGCAGAGCTGGATTCTAAGGATGATAGTCATAATATGAAGATTATACATTTCACCACTGTAATCAGTAATAAATGCATTTAGGGATTATTCCAGCACAATGTCAGAGTCTCTCATTCACAGATGCACACGCTCCATACATGTCTGTTGACTCACTTTGTTGCCACCGCAGGACAGAGGCAGACTGCCAGAACCTGGTGTCTCACTGCTGCTCTGTCTGCAAATGTGAACCCAAAAAGGGCAAGGGGGGGTTAAAACATCTGGCCAGCATTCAGCAGTTTAGCCCAGTGCATTTAGAATGGAAGGGGGGGGGACTCCATTTCTGCAACTGACACCACCCATGCCGACACAGCAGCCTGTGACTGGCCTGTGGGGCACATCCCCAGTATGGCTCGTACCACCCAACAAGGTTCCCACAGCCCTCGGGCAGGAAGACACCTGCTTTCCCAGCAGCCCCGGCACCCAGCGAGACTGAAGCGTGCGGGAGACAAAAGTAGGTCTCCGGTTTCGGACACGGCGGAGCTCTGCGTCTGAGGGATGTGGGTACGAACGGCATGACTGGTCAACCATGCATATTTGGGGAACACTGTCTGGCTGAACCCCTCACTGGAAAAGCCCAACATCAAATACCACAAGAATTTGGCAGCACACATTCCATTTTATTCATTTAGCACACAGCGGTCGCTCAAAACATTTACCAAAGCACAACACTGTCTAGAAGGAGGTTTAGGTGATGTGCTCAAATTCCAGCAGGATCTACAGAAAGAACGTAGCAGATCATAATCGTTTAACTGCCAGTAAGAACACAACCTGAGACAAGCTCCAGGTCAGAGCTGAATTTAGCCTGATTGCTGTGACAGATGGAGAGAAACACTGAGAACGGACAACACGGCACACATGGCGGAACAAACTCCACGTCACACCTTTGAACAATAACTTCTGTTCAATTTATGTTGGAACAGACAGAGGGAATGACCACTAAATGGGCACAAAGTACAAAGATGGCTGCATTAACATAATCAAATACAAACAAATCCCCAAGTCCATCCAGAGAATTTAAATGACTCTGGACAGGAAGACCGGGTTAGGCTTCGTTCTGAATTACAGCTTTTAGCATGTTGTTTGTTTTAATGTTCAGTAGCTTAGCAACTGCCATTGCCTCTGCTTCCGATGGACCACCTTAAACGTTTTTCATGGAATCATGTATAAGGTTTTTGGGGTTGTTTTTGGCATTTGCAAAGTTTTCCCCTCTATCACCCTTTTTTAGGGACCAGTATCCTTTTCTTAAAAATACCTCTCTGTTTATCAAGTCCAAAAGACGGAATATACCTTGTGAATACGTAAACTCACTAGATTGATGCAAATTGTCTCCTAACGTCAAGCAGATTCAAAGCATGAGGACGCGGTAAAAACGGCTATTGCTACAGAAGCTTTACAACGAATAAAGCAATGGCGCCATAAGGATGATAAGTGGAGGGGGTAAGTACAAGATTCTCTAGGCCAGTCGTCAAATGACCGGTTCCGGCCCGCAGCTCTTCCACAACAAACTCCAGCGCACGGTGGCAATTTCAGGCGGCATTCCGCAAATTCCGTAAATTCCGCACGTAGCGGTTAGCGCACTTACGGATGCGGAGCGACAAAAGCAAGACTTCCACGGATCCTATAAAAAAAATCAGCTATAGATGCGACGGTAACGTCGTTCCTCACCCAGAAAAAAAAAATACAGCCGTCACATGGCCCTTTTCCGTTTGCACACCATGAATGTCACACACCGTAATGTTAATGAAAACCACCCACGAGACCATTTCATTATTTCCATAGTTGCATTATAATCCATCCCCTGACAAACACATCGCGGCCTTCAGACCTTTTCACAGCATCTCAGGTGCAGCCAGGCCTCTGCTGTGGTCCCACTGCATGCACCAGTTTTCGGATATTACCACAACGGGGTTGATTTTATCCGTAAAGTCCAGATTTGGCCAAAAAGACAATGTTCTATAATTCCTGGAATTCCCTTTACGGAAATCAGCCCACATCACAAATCCTTGCTTGCTTTTACGAAGAAATAGCTCAAAATACAGTAACTGTCACATTACTTGTTGTAGAAACGAATAATTTAGCAACGACAAAATATAGGCCTCCTGCATGTGCGCCAGTCCAAAAGTGCGATATAAGCGCAACACGATCGTTAAGTTAAAAACGAATATTTTGAGACGCCAGGACAGAGGGTACGAAATGTATATATTATACATTGATTTATACCTCGACACCATTCCCATAAATCAGACATCTTTGCTCAATGTGTGTGTCCCACTAGCTACATTATATAACGAATCATTAAACGCTCCCATCTCATCCAATATCTAGAAATACAGTGATCATCTTAAGTCTAATCCAACATTTAAGACGACGTCTACCCAAAATGAATTAATTTATTCAGTGGTTATGCGGAGATCAAGGACATAAAACCTAATTTATTCGGGAGGGGGGGAAATCAGTACAGGTTTTCTCACGAAGGGGTCGTGTTTACCTGCCAGCGGGCCTGCACGTACACTTGTTTACGTGAATGTTGTTTTTAAAGGGCGCCGGGTGAGGTGACGAACCGCCCTAATACGGCAGCCGAGCTGAACATCCCACGTGTACGGCCGCACGACACAGGCGAGATAAAGGGTCGCGATCGGATTCAATATATGCATACATGATGGAGCCGACTGGAGAAAGCCGACTGGGGGTAAAATGCAACCACGGCTCCTGTGAATAGGGGAAAAAACAACTGCAGTGGATATCAGTTCGCCTTGGGCAACCGATGCCCCCGGATCCGAATCTTTGTTATTGCGATTCTCAGAAACAGTATAATTATAGTATTGAAACATGCCAATAATTACTTATACCGTGCATTTCTTGCATAGTATAAACACGTACTGAGCAAAAACCAGAGCACCAGTCGAAAAAGTGGGTATTTCCCGAAGCAATTCAGTGGACTGCAGCAGTTAACACAAAATAGTCTAAGTGCCAGTAGTGTAGTATTTTTCCCTAGAGTGGGGCAAGTAAGATGTGGTAAAATACAGCTTTAACGAAATAAAATGTTTCTTCACCGTTTCGGACTAAAGTTCGGGGCAGCAACTTCCAATCGAGCGTGGCGACGACACTAGTGCTGTTTTAACAGGTTTAGAAATGAAACTACCTTCTGTTTACTTTCTCGGCAATCTGCGAGAGGAATTACGCAGAAGCTTGCTAAATCCGAGACTTCTGCGTTTCTATTTAGGGCTTATCGCATTATATTTAGCGAAAAATACATACAAAAGTGGATGGGAGACGTCCACACCTTCGGCCTAGGCGGGTCAATAGCGAGCAATCCGTAAAAGAATAAGTATCATCAGCTGCATATGTTAAAAAACACACATCCACAAACCATTTGTTACATGCACACGCTTTCCCGAGTGGAAAGTTCACCTAGTTGAGCAACTTTGACGCGATTATGTGAAATGAAACGGGAGAGAAGCACTCCGAAGCTATCCACTCATTTTCATGTATTTTGCGAGTTTCTGACGCGGTTCTGGGCCTACCCAGGCCAGCCCGGGTGAGAACAGCCGCATCTCACTGAATACAATGGGAACTACCCTCCCTCCAGCAGCAATCGGGCACATAGGCAAGCGAATAAGAAGAGATACTGAACTTCACCTGGACCGAGGTTTCAGAGCTGGTCCTGGACCATTATTGTGGGCGCCTCCGGTGACTTTTTCAGACTGCGATGTCCTTCAATAATGTGGGTAAAAAGCTCCTCATTTAATCAGATTCTGGTGCCGTTCCTCCACTACACCTCCCCAGCTTGCTTTCTGTATTGCTCTCGTGTCACCGTCCTTCCGGCTGGGTCCTAGCGCCGACTTCAGCCACCTCTCCATACATCCGTCACCTCTCACAGCGACGTAGCATCACAAGTCGGGGCTGATTCTGGACTGCAAAGTTTTTGAATAAGTTAAAGGTATACATGGCAGATCCTCGTCTAAAGAGTCATTTTCTGCATGATTCTTACAGGCAAAAGAAACTTTTGACTGCAATCATGTACTGAAGATTAAAAGTAAAAGATGTTAGACATTATGGGATATATCCATTGTACAAACATAGCTTTTAATCCATACTACATTCAAATAGTTCAATTTTAAACTGTTATGTGCCTATTAAGAACTTTACTGATTGATGCACTCCATTCTCAGTGGTTAACCCAGTCCCAGACAGATCACATATTTTCCAGGACCACTGTCATGCTGACTCGTCCATGAAATTCACTAACTTGAAATTTATCAGTACTGGCAGTACATATTCCTTGGGTTTTATTGAGAACCCATTGTGCACACTAATGCACAATTATCCATACGTGCAAGGCCTATTACTAAAAATATTTTATCCGATTTTATGTCTTCTTCACTTGACCGATACATCAGATTTAAACAGCACTGTTTTTCTGTACGTTTGTGAACAAACATCTCTGAATCATTTGCTAACAAGAAGTTCATGTGAAAAGGAAACTGACTCAGCGTTATGTCAGTGGCGTTCTCCGCAAATGTAAGCATGTTTGTTCTACAATTTACACGTCCCAAAGGTTTTTGACAACTGGTTTAACTGTGATGTCTTCCTCGCGCACTGAGTATCGATGTGCGAACAAACATCCCTGAACTTTTAACTCATGTAAAACAACATTAAATGGATAAATACATTTCGAATCAGCCATTTGAAGCGATACTAACATAGCCTGGCTGACCACACATCCATCTTATATATGTGTTTGTGCTAAACTTGTACATCCTATTGGAGAACCATAAAAAAATCTTGCAAACTGATGTTATGACGGTGACTTAGGGCAGCGGGCGATTTTCTGTTCAGTGACTGAAGGCACTCCCTTGATGAAACAAGCATGGCGTTCAGGACAAAGGCTTCTCTCAGGAATGCTTCTTTGCAGTGATAACAGAAGGAGGACACGCAGAATACGATTGATGAGCTATTAACTATTAAACATTATTAGACAGAGCCCAGGGTTCCTTCAGTGGGGGTGTGTGCCGTACCTCAGGTCACACTCTGCATGCTCTCCATGGGTACGATGATACACAGGTCATGGTATATAAATGACCTTTCAAACAGATCTAAATGCTGCTATCCAGCTCCAGTGCTGAGTTGAGCAATTTTTGCTGTGGGAAATTTGTGTTTTTTGTATTGTTCATCACTGGTCCGTACAAGTCTATATGTACGCATACAGTTATATGTAGCCTATACAGTGAACCCCCGCCTATCGCGGAAGATGCGTTCCAGACCCATCAACGATAGGTGAAAATCCGCGATATAGAAAGACCATATAAATAAACATTTTTTTATATAGTTTAAGCCTGAAAGTACCCCTCCCACACGCTTTAAACACATGTAAACTTATTAAAACAACACATATGATATGTGGATGTTGGGCTAAGGATATGAGTATAACATAATAATAATAATATGTTATATATATGCATGCACATCTCTCTCTCTCTCTGTATACGTAATGGAATATGTAAAAATAAGAACATTTTCATAATGGCGAGCGACGTCGCCTTTCCTTCCCGAAGCATATCCAGGAGTTTTACCTTCTCCTGAATAGTCAAGGTCTTCCTCTGGCGCTTATGCTCACTACTACTAGAAGGCTTGTAGGATGCAGGACGCTTGGGAGCCATCGTAGGGCTTAAAAAACGAAAACAATCGGACCACAAGCAAGGTACGCGATACGCAGAGAACTGTGACGCGTCGGGGAAAAATCCGCGAAATAGCTGGGGCGCGATAGCTGAACCGCGATATAGCGGGGATCACTATACTATGAGAGTATTGTACGGGATGACGTCATGATTTTGTGTAAGTAAAACACTGGATGGGGAAATGCTGATATTTACATTTATTGGCAGACACTTTTGTTCAAAGTCTCTTACAAGCGAATGACGTAACGCATATTGTTTAAATATGCTTATTTATCCTGAAATGATTAACGCGGTTCGCGACTCTGCTCAGGTTGAACGTGTGAAAGATGGAGGAATGACTTTCTTGTTTTTTTTCCTAGGCACATCGCATCATCTATGAACGGCTGCTTTTAAATGTAATGCTCATTGTCTCTGGTCTAACGTATTATCAAACATAATTTTACATATAAAACAACCATTCTGGGGGAAAAAGATGCAAAAAATGCTGAAAGTCCGAAGTTTTGTATAAAGTATCATTTTCCTGGTTCGAGTTAAAGTAAAATATTTTTTAGCAGGAATTAATTAAGCGATATGCGTACTACTGACTTTCTTAACTACTCTTACTATTCCTGTTTACGCATGGCGCGCTTTGTCGTGTTTTCCCTGATAGAGAAATGAGAGCTGATGGTGAAAACAGATAAGTTGCTGTTGAAACGTCTTTCTGTCTACCAGCCTGTCTCAAGAGTAAGTGCATGTTTTAAAAAACCGCCAGAACTATACCACGGCCATGCCACTCAAACAGTAGCAACCAAAACAAGCATTTTGGAGGAAGCCAGTTAAGCAACAATTCTTGTACAACGAAGATATTGCGAAAATATTTTTTTAAATAACATCGTAACCCCGGTCTGATTAATATAAAACTAATTTGTTTTGCAATAGGTGCTACTTGGACACCATGCCATACCAACACTATTGTTTTTGACTGAATGGCGTCCAAGAATTGTGTAATATCTCCTAACATGCTGGCTGCTGGCAGACTTTTCCTCTTGATGAAATATTTATTGAGTTCCCCCTGGTCGCTCTGCCATTGTTTAACTTTCCCCTCATTGTGGCTGCGGCATAAACAGGCTGCCGTTCTCCCTGCTGCATGTCCCCAGTGCGTCCTGCCCCGACCCAAGCCAGAGTGCTCCCTGTAGCTCTCTCTGCTAGTCAGCTGTCTGGGTGCTTCCAGTCAAGGAACTTGTTTGCTGTCACACCCCCTCCTCATGAGAATGCCGGCTCATCAGCGGTGATCGGAGCCACCTGCTCTACTCCTTTAAATCCCCGCCATACCTCACATTCAATAAAAGGTATTGTTGATCCCAATGCAACTTACTGAATGTGCGTCCTCTATCTCCTGTCCACAACCAACCAAACAACTAACCTTCCTGCTCAATTACCATGCCTCTCCAGCCCTGACCCTGATCCTGCTCCCATCTGACCTTCCTGGTCTGTCTTCCTCTGGTCTCATACACTGACCAATAGACTGACCACCTGGCTACTGAACCCACCCACTCTGTAATCCCAACTCTGATCTTGCTTGCTGGTTTTGTTTATGTGCATCCCAGAATAAATCCCTGTGTACCTGTATCTTTGGGTCCCTGGCCATTTAATCTTTCACAGAATACCTTGCCAGACCACATGGACCCAGCGGAGACTCAGCACCAACTGCAAGATACCCTGCCTTGGAAGAAGCCTAGGGGACCAGTTGTGTGAGGAACAAATCTGTGACTGAGTTCACCTTGGAGTTCCGAACACTCGCAGCAGGATTAGGTTGGCCCCCCTCGTGCCTCCAGGTCTTGTACCAGTGAGCATCGCGCCCTGACCTCCAGGTGAAGATGGCATGCCGTGGAGAACCCTGCTCCTTTGATGAAAACATCCAGCTCTCCATTACTCTGGATGATGTTGTCCGGCCGGGATCGCCACTAGACTTGTGCCCATCACGAGTCAACCCGCTCACATTAGGAATCAACCCATGTCAGTCTGTCGCCTCTTTCATCTGAGCCCAAATAGATGCAGGTCAGCTGTGCCCTGCTCTCCCTTCGAACGCCAACACCGCCTGCAGAATCGACTCTGCCTGCATTGTGGAGAACCAAGCCACTCCCTCCACACCTGCCCAAACTGGACTCCTCAGGCCACTGACCCGGTACTCTAGGTAGGAGAAGTTTCCCTGATGCTTTATGTTACTCAAAAAACAGGTGTTGGTGCCTATAGCCTTGTCATGGGAGGGAGATCGAGTAGCCACCAATGTGCTGCTGGCAGTTTCATTGATCTCCAACTGGTATGCCACCACTCCATCCTCCTGCAGCCTGTGGTTCCTGCCCTCACCATGCGAGGAGTCAATGGTTCCCCCTCATGGCCGGTTATGTAACTCTGCAGACTATGCTTCTGTACCTACTGGTTGGAGTGGCACATGAGGAGTGCATTCATCTTCTGGTGCTCCTGCTCATCTGGGATGGCATTATCCTCGGACACTCTTGGGTCCAGCATCATAACTCCCTCATAGAACTGGAGAACTGAGAGCCTGGTCTCCCAAGTGCTTTGCTGCCTGTCTCTTCCTCCCCTGTAGACTCTTTGCCGTCGAGCCCACTGCCTGATGGAGGGGTCCTGATTCTGGAGGAGTACTGGAACTTTGCTGACATCTTTAGCAAATCCAAGGCATTTAGCCTCCCTCCACATACTGTAGGCCTTCAGATAGCACCATTGACCTAGTGGAGGGTGCCCTGTTGCTTAGGCGATGCTTGTTCTCATTTTCGAGACCCAAAGTGGAGGCGATGGAGACTTGTGCACGTGATACCCTCAACAAAGGTATTATCCACCCGTTGACCTCCCCAGTGCCCTCTGGCTTCCTTGTCAAGAAGGACTGGGGACTGCGCCGTTGTATCGACTACTGGGGTCTGATTGCCATCACTGTGAAGTGCAGTGAATCGCCACCCCTCATTCCGCTGCATTGGAGCAGCTACGCACGGCTCATATATTCACAAAGCTGGACCTCTGGAGCACCTATAACCTCATCTGCATTTGGGCTGGGGATGAATAGAAGACCTTTTTAACTAAAACCGGTCAGTATGAATATTTCTGATGCTGTATGGTTTAGCTAATAGCCCGTTCATCTTCCAGGCCTTTATGAAGGAGGTCCTGTCCAACATGTTGCAC